GTGTGGAAGAGCACAAATGCTGGCAAAAAATAAGCAACATCTGACTGACACTGAAGACCTTCCTTCCTCCCTGCACATCCTTAGTGGTAGCTTGCCACATCTGTCAGTATTAACGCCCTTGTAGCCATGACAGATGTGTTGAAGCAATGGGAGCTGGCAGGGAGAGGCTACCACTGCCACTGTAATTATTGATAGCATGATCAAGAGCATGTTTTTTTGCAGCTGAATCTATTGCTGAAGCAGTTGGTATTTTTGCCTGCAAGATGCTTGTCTCTGGATTCTGACAGACCAGCACCTACAGATATATTTACTACCACAGAAATTATGCTGGATCCTTATCTCAACTTGTTTTTCCCTAACACCATTAACTTGAGCAGCTGGGGTCTGCTCCTCCAGCATGTGTACAACAGCCCTGCCATAAAAGCAAGCAAGCAACACAAAAAAGAGACTTGGTTCTCAACCCAAGAAGCCAGATGTATGAGCTTCACAATGACTCAGCCCAAGTGTCCTAAACCCAGACAGTTCTAGTATAAAACTATGCAAAGAGAGGCTGCACCAAGTCCAAAGATCTTGGCCCTGATTTGCAGCCATCTTGGCCTCTTCCTACTCTGGTCAAAGTCAGCAGTCCAACTGCCACTGCATTTGGTGGGAACACATGTGGAGCACAGAGGCTGTGCCACTCTGCCAGGGGCAGGAAGGCAGGAACAGCAGCCCCATGTGAAAGTGCACCAGGGAATCTGACGTGCACAAACCAAAGACACCTGTGGTGGGATCTGGCTGGTGTGGAAAGGGAACAGATCTCAGCAGCTAGGCTGCCAGGGTAAGAGCCATCTCCAAAGTGAAATGCTGAAGATCAAATCCTAAAACTGGTGCAAGTGGTGTGGCTGTACTGGAGTAATCGCATTAGCTGGGAACCTTGATGTTGACCTTTGAGATCCCAACTGTCCTCTTCTCTTTCTTCTTTGCCCATATGCTGTCACCTTAAATGCATCCCTTCCTCTTGCTCTCTGTGCTTCCTTGAACACACCCATAGGGGAGGATGAACAGCTGCCTCAGTCAGCGAGCAACATCACTGCAACAAACCACCTCTTCAGTGGACAGCCAAGTGGGTAGAAAGCACGCACAAAGGCACACCTCTTCCTGTTAGAGGGAGTAAAGCAGCTAAGAAGCCACTGAGACAGGAGATTTGAGGCCTCCAAGAGAGAGACCTGAATTGGTTGTGTGTGAGTTCATTGCTCTGTTGCTGAGTGACATCAGGCTCTTTGGGCTCAGAGAGATCCGTTTCATCTTAAAAGGGAAAACTCCCCCAGGGATCTCGTTAGCACCATCGTGAAAGACAGAAAGGAACTGGAGGTTGGTGGAGGGGTGATGCTGGCAAGGGTAACAAGACAGAACTGGCCAAGGAAGAAGCCTGGGAGCACTCCACCCTGTGGGGACAGCCTGACTGCCCCAGGGAAGGCTGCCTCCTTACCCCGTCCACAGGGTGAGTGGCTGGGGTGGGGCATCAATGTCCAGGAAAGCAGCTGCACAAAAGCTCAACCTGAGGTACCTACTCACTCACCTGTGCTTCCTGGGCCAGTCTTCCCCCTATCAAATCCCTCCTCCTCCTCCTCCCTGTACTCTCACTCTTAGAATCATAAAGGTTGGAAAACACCTCCAAGATCATCAAATCCAACCATCACCCAACACTACCATGACCATTAAACCATGTTCCCATGTGCCACATCTACTCGTTTTTTGAACGCCTCCAGGGATGATGACTCCACCACCTCCCTGGGCAGCCCGTTCCAGTGCCTCACCACTCTCTCAGGGAAGAAATTCTTCCTAATATCCAATCAAAACTTCCCCTGGTGCAACTCGAGGCCGTTTCCTCTCATCCTACCACCAGTAACCTGGGAAAAGAGACCAACACCCACCTCACGACAACCTCCTTTTAGGTAGTTGTAGAGAGCAATAAGGTCTCCCCTCTGCCTCCTCTTCTCCTCTTCCTCTCTCCCATGGCTGGCTGGACACTGTTGTTTGTAGGGGGCAGCAGCTCTGGCCAAGTTTGTGCCTCTACAGCTGGCAGCAGAAGACAAGGTGCTGTTGGCTGTGTTTGCAGTGGTGGGAGGCACTGCATTCTTACACAGCTGTCCCACTGCCATGCTGAAACTGGTCTGACACAGGATCCTGGCAGCCCAACACATTTTAAGCTGATTGCTCCCTGAAAGCTGCTCCCACCTTTCTCATCACCCCATTACAAGAAGCAGGTTAAAGGGCAGTTTAATGGATCCAGAACACAGGTAGATACTCCTATTTTAGGCTGACGAAAGTCACAAAAGCAACACACAAAAAAAACAAAGAACCCACAAAAACAGAAGGGGAAAAAGATCTAACTTAGTTAATTCAAAGCAACACATCTTAGTTATAACTGTACATCAGCTTAAGAAGTTCAGACAGACATAAGCTGGGCCCCCTGTGCTATTGCTCACCAGATGTAATGGTTATTAAAATTTCTTCTATGTAGCATCATAAAATGCCAAATAGAACTGTGCTTCTTTCAAGTACAGCCTCTTCAAAGCAATTGGTGAGTCTTGCTTGGAACACCTGGTGAAGGAGAGAGATACATCATCTCCCCATGTCTTGAAGAAATCAAGAAGAGATGTTTATGAAGGAAATGAGTAATATGAATGGTTTGGCTTTCAGGAGACTTGGAAATACAAACAGCAGGTTCCAGCACAGGTTTTTAAAAAATTAATTAGCAGTGAGTGGGAAAACAAGTGATGACTGTTATTCTCAGTGCTACAGTCTTGTTTAACTTAATAAAAGTGATAAAACTATAAAATCCCAGTGAAACACCTCCTAAAACGAAGTGTTTCTCCAGAAATGGAGCTGTTTGTTTCACAACAGGAACGATCAGGTGTTCTAAACTCTGTCATGTTTCAGCTTCTAACACCAGATACCTGGTAAGACTGTCAGACTCCCCTAAACATATAGCTTGGTTTTATATCATTAAAAAACAATAGGATTTTGGAGCCTAGTTTATCCAGCTGAGCTCTAGTCTGCTTCTGTAAGCACCTGAAATATGAAAATCTGCCACAAAATAATCAGGTTTATTCTACGTTTTAATGAAAATCTAACAATAGAATTTTGAAGACAATATTCAGAATTTTTCCAGAAAGTTTCTTCGATTTGCAAGCCCCTTGAGGAAGCTGTGAAACAAAGCAAAAACTACATCAGTGGGCCTGGTAACCCTGGTAAGGACCACTATGTAACTGTCTTCGCCAGCCCAAATATCTCTCTTAGACCTGAAATGTCATTCAAGAACAAAACGTTTATAATTGCAGACAGTAAAGTATAGCTTTAATGACTGACAACCTGTCCAGAGAGGAACTGGGAGTTTTGCTTGCTCCTGGCTGACCACTTCAAAGGGCTCCCAACATGCTGAGCAGAGGGGCTTCAACAGCAGCCCTGCATAACAGCAGCACCATTCCCACCAAGGCTTCAACAGTGGGAGCACAGTTCTGCATCCCTTGTGCAGCTGTTTTCTTTGGGATTCACTCCTGGTTTCCATAAGCACAAAGCAAAGGATTCATGCCAAATTCATGGTGATGCATCAGACCTAGTGCACTTTATTCCCCAGGTAGCAGTGACCAAACCAAACTGTTGGGGATTAATTCTTTAGGTCACCTCTCAATGTCATGGGGCAAGTGACAGTCACCAAAACCCAAGCTGAGCAAGCAGTGCATTGGGCAAGCCAGTAGTGATCTTGCCATCTAAAACTAGAGCAATAAGTTTCTGGGTATAAACACCAGCAGAGTTGCTGCAAACAATTGCTGTAACCAGCCACAGACAGATGAACCCTACTGGGGAGCAACCACCTCCAGATATCTCACGGAACACTTTCCTTCATCCATCAACACACCAGGGAAGTAATCACAAGGTCTTGTGCACTGCCAACAAAGCTAACAAAATGTACTCAAGCAATGAGCACTGGCTTCCTCTCTGTGGAAGCTCAGCCCCTATGGCAGCAGAAATCAGCAGGGGCCAAGGGGTAGTGGGAGAGCTGGAAAAAGCAGCATTGCCCCTACAGAACCAACCAAGCGACCCACAGTCTTGGGCATGCTGATATGGGAGCTCTGTTTTTCAGAGGTACTCTGCATCTTACAGCAGGCAGCTACCAGGGCAGCTGGCACCAACCCTGCAGCTTCCCTATGGACACCTCTGCAGAGCCCTTACTCATTAATCTACTTCAGGTTGCTCTTAAACCACCTCCAAATAGACAGGAAAAAGTCCCCGGTTTGCTCAGCTGGTGCATTTGAAGAGTTTAGAAATATCACTAAGGTGATAAAGGTTTTGGTTTTTTTTTCCTTGCTTGCTTTATCCTTCCTGTTAGAAAACAGAATGTCTTCAGAAGCTTCATTTCCTCTCGTTCTCATGCAGACACACTTATTCTGTTGAAAAACCTCACCCACATCACAGCCATGACCTATGAGATCACATGTCTGAAGGCAAAAATGCACAGCTATCAGGCACCCCTGTGGAGACATGGGCATTATGGTATCAGTCAGGTGCAGCCCAAAATCTTGAGTGTCATCCCTAGGTCTGGAGCATATCATGCCAAGCTCATTCCATCAATTTGTTACAATCAACAGCACATCCATAGACATCCATGCCTACACAGGGGCTGAATTTGGGCTAGGCCACTGTTCAGTTGGGGTAGGGATGTAGGTCAATTTAAAAGCCTGGGAGGTACAAATGACCATGTTTGATGTCCTAGTCACAGACACTTTATCACCCATCACCCATCCCCATCAGTCAACACATCCCAAGCAGTTACATGGGGACCACGGATGCTGCTTATGTGGTGCTGCAGAGGCCAAGGTGGCAAGTTCTGCTCCAGATGAACACCATCATGGAACATATGGCATTGAACAAGAGGAAGAGTGTCTTTCCAAGAAAGTCACCTCTTTCTGGAATGAAAACAAAGTTCCAACTGAAGAAACAAACCAGCACCTTGCTCACTTCTCATGTGACACATCAGAGCTGTGTTCTGTCTGTGTTTGTTTCAAGAGGAACTGCAGGACATCATCAGAGAGTCCAGGTGTTTTGCTTCTGTTTTCCAACATGACTTCTCCTTCAGCTGGCTTTGAAAAACAAGCAGTAGTGGGGTAGTTTGGAAAGATCTTACACCCATCTCTGTTCAAGACCACCTGGGCCATTTGCAGGCAACGTGACGTATATTTTGTTCCATTCTGCTTTGCCAGCTCTGAAATCTTCTGCGACAGACACTGTGATGCAGCCTTGTAGGTGGGATCCATTCTGTCTGGGCGTTCTTTGCAGTGTGTTTTGTAGAAGCCATCAAGAGATTTCCTGATGCTGGTATCTTCTGCACTATCATGTTCATATATCCATGAAAAAGCAGCATCATGAGGTTCAGTGGGCTCGCACAGCCCTGCTTTTGAATAACATCTCAGGTTAGCTTTCTCAGAGCCTTCAGCAGAAGAGGTCACAGGAAGTGGAGAGGGTAGGTTGTCCTCTCCTGCAAGCACAAGATCAATGAAACTCATTAGTCATCAGATCACCCCTGTGACAAAATCTTTTTTCATCCCCCTACTTGCTGCAGCCTGGCAAGCAGGGTCTGTGCAGGAGTGAGACAAGTACTGCTTCAAACCTGGCTGGACTGCCAGGGGGGCTTGTTGCACAGATTCATACAAGATGGGCTGTACTTGGGGATTTCACAGTTGTACCAGCCCCAGCCCTCTGCAGTGACTGCACCTACTCGGTGGTACAGACCTTCTGGTTCCTCTAAGTCATACTTCCAAAGAGGTGGAGACTGGGATCTGCTTCTGCTGGAGAAGAGAGCTGACCCACATGGAAGTCTAATTAACAGCTGAAGCAGTTCTACCTCTGTTTCAGTTTTCTTCCTCCATCCCAGGTCTAATCCTTCCCTTTTCATAGTTCTTAATTTTATTCCCACAGCACAACGTGCAATCCTGTCCTACAGCTTGCAGCCAGATCTAGAGCCTTCAAACAAACACTGTTTTGGTGCACTGCAGAGTTTGGGAATGGGGCCTGCAAAAGGGGACCCTCATGCTTCCCCGTGGAGTTCCATTTCTGCAGCCCAGCTGCGCTAAATGCTCTCCTCACAACCTGCAGGAATTTTTATAGATAAAATATAAGTAAAGACCGAAGACTCATTCTTGCCTAGCTCTTCTCCTCCTTCCCCACATCTCTGGACAATAGTCAGGGCTGTGGTTCTCTTCTGCCCCCAATTCAGTCAAGGGCAATGCTTTGTGCTTGCACATAATTAATGTATCATCGGCACAGAGACACTTGGCAAAGACGTGACCAGGATGATCAGCAAGCCACACACAGCTCCTGGTAGGAACAGCTTCCATAAAGAGACCTTGAATTGGGCTCTGGTACCCAAGAGTGACTCTAACTGCAATCTCATCTCCAAGACTGCTGTGCAGCCTGTTTGCCAAGCACCTGAGTCACTGACAAGAAAATTTTCCAGGGCTTAGCCAGAGGTTGCACAGCCGTCATCTGCAAGTTATATAAGCAGGACACAGGGAGTCAGAAAATAGCTGGGTCTTTTCTAATTCTGTGAAATATGAAGCAGAGTGCAGTCCTTCATTTCAGTAAAAGATCAAGTTCAAAGGAAGTCTCAGTGTGGTGGCAGAAGGCGTTTCTTTCCCTGCCGGTACACAAAGAGCCACCTTCCCCTTCCTGAGTGGTCAGAGATTCATTAAAATGAAATTAAGATGTCTGTGCAGCCATACTGTACATTGCCTCTTTCTTCCTCCCCCCACTTTTGACCTTTGATCTTTCTTTTCAATTTCATCTCAGATTCTGCAATTTTAAATAGGCTTTCTCTTCCTCTTGCAAGGTGTCATTTCCAATGCAGTACAAAGAAAAGCTTATTGGCCCTCTTTTAGCATTGATATATGCCATCAGAGCAGCAAATCAGAGCTCATCAAAGAGAACAGGTCCATTTTGCCACAATAATCTCTCAGCCTTCGCTTAGAACGGAAGCCTCGTGCATCTCTGATACTTCAATCAAGTGGCACTTGCACTCAAACTCTTGTGGCAACTGCACACCCCTGTGCCATGCTGTCATTTTGCTACTTCTAAAGCACAGATCACAGCCATATTTTTTTAGAAGAGCAGCAGCTGCCTTCAGCTCAAAATGCAATCCTGCACGATCCAGGAAAAGCAAAATCCTCTCAGTTTCATGGTGTCATGGGAGGGCTTGGCCATGTTGTTCTGCATTTCTCCTATGATCTTAGATGGGACATTATGAAAAAACTTCTCTAAAAGGGTTGTCAAGTGCTTTAAGAGTCTGCCCAGGGAGTGGTTGAATCACCATCCCTGGAGGTATTTAAGAGATGTGTAGATGTGGCACTTAGTGGTGGACTTGGCAGTGTTAGGTTTATGGTTCAACTCAAGGTCTTCTCCAACTTACATGATACTATTCTATTCCACTCTATTGTAAGCCAGTATGGCCTATAAAGCAGCCATCCTCTGTTGTAGGACAATCCACTGAAGAAGCAACCTATAAGTATTTCGGGGTGTACATGGGTGTTTGATTAGTCAAAAAGTAGTATTACTGGGAGAAGAGTTTTCTTTCACTTATTGATTCAAATTTATGTAACTATTTTTCAACAGCAGGCCTTATCCTCTTTGTGGATTACTTTTCCAGCAAAGCCTTCTTCAGGCAAAACATGAAAAGTGAGACAGAGTTCCCAGAACCTATCTACAACCTACAAAGCTGCACCCTTTAGCTTTCCTGACAATTTCCCAATACTTTCTCAAACTGTGTGCCAAGAATTTGCAAATAGACTCAACCCTTTTCCTCTCTAAAAAATATCATTTGAAGTAGAGGTCCTTCCTCGACACTCTCTAAAGAGCTGATACTGCTGTTGTAATGCACAAATGTCCTGAATGATTTATAAACCACAGGCCACAAGCCCAGTAGCTGGATGCCTGCAGGGTCCAGAAAGAGCTTCTCAGCTGGGGCACATATAGAACACACAAGCACACCATGTAGGCCAGAAAGCATGCTGCTAAAAGCAAAGGCAGCATTAAAGTGATGAATCCCCTTCCCTCTCTATGTACCTGCAACCCTCAAAAAAGCCAGGATTCCCTGATAACACAGCATCCTTGCTTCAAAGCTTAGACCTCTTCAGGCAGCTTGAAGTAGCAGGAAAAAAGTAATGTTTTGTAAACTCTTCATCCTTCCATGGCAAACTTAACAACAGAGCTGTCACACATCCTTGTGTTGGCTTGGCCCAACACCTACAAAAGTCAATGCAAAAATGAGCAGGGCTGAAAACTTGCACTCCATTTGTCTGCAATGGAGTTTCATTAACAGAGAATCCAGTTTGAATTTTTTAACTATTTTCATTCATTTATACCATGAAGCATTATGTTAAGGGGAAAAAACAAAAGAAAAATAAACCCAAACCACACAACCCCCCCAAAAAAGCACCCAGAAACTGTCACAGGTCATTACTCATGTCTTGATTTCATTTGCACATGATGGATAATCATCAGTATGAATGTACATTATTTCATCTGCGCCTCCGCTCCACGCTAATTGAAGTTCGGCATTTGCAGCTCATCAGTGAAAGACCTGGGGGCTGATAAAAGGATATTCTTTGTGTTTGCAAACCTGCTGATGAAAATTTAAAGTCTCCATCTGGTACAAGCACATAACCCTACTGCCCGAAGCAGAGAACCAAATCCTGCTTTGGACCTGGGCCACCTTCAGTGATGCACGCACACCCCAGTATTATTATTTGCACCTCTACAGAAGCAGCTCACTGAGTGGTTTGAGTCTGTCAGCTGTGTTCAAGCACACACAAAGAGTGTAAGATAAGTTGCCCTTCAAACAGCAGAGCTCCTATACTGCTGGGCTTTCTGAAGAAAGAAATCCTCCTCCAATCCAGGTGGGCAGCCATCCCTGCAGCTGCTGGTGCTTCACTAGAGCTGGTGTTGCTGCGACTCCTGTCTCTGTTCCTTACAGAGGCTTAGCTGAATGCCAGCAGCTGCTAACTCTGTAGCTACATCTGTGGCTGAATTTGTCCAAGCCTCCTGCCCTTCCCCACACTATCTGACTGCCTCCTGGGGACCTGGCAGTTAGGACATGTGGCAGCAAGCACCATCTCCAAATTGTTCAAATCCTCGACCCCCTTCAGTGATTGACCACATGCTGGGATAACTTGGAGCAAGGGCTGATTTTTTCCAGGTGCCTCTACTGTGCCACCCTAAACAAGGATCAAGAAAACTATGAGACTGAGAAGAGCAAAGAACTTTTCTAAACAAAACTGATGTAATCTGGAGATGTACAAATTGCCCTTAGGTTCACAGTAGTGATTGTCAACCAGATGTTGGTTAGATGATGCTAGAATACATCCCTATCTTGTAAAGTCAATGATAGGACTGTTCTCTAGAGTATCTCATAATGACAGATTATTTAGGAACTCAACTCTGAGATGGTGTCTGCTTCCTGTTACAGTCACCCTGCCAGCTGTGAAGGCCTGAAGAGGACATCAGGATCAGCTTGTCTGTAGAAATGGCCCTGCATAAAGATTACTGGAGAGCTAAGCAACACAACAGTGGAAAGCAAAATCAAAGGAATGAAGAGACAACTCTTTCCTTGGGTAAGACTACCTCAAAAGTCACTAATACTTTACGTGCTCTCCCTGGGAGTAGATGGGGCTGAGCATTACAGAATACAGTTCGTTTTTTTTCAGAGTAGCTGAAGAGCAGAAGCACGAGCCATGTTCTAGCTGGGAAGTCTGGAGACAAATAAGCCACTTCTTGCCCTTGACACCTCACTTGCCCTGGACATTGCCACCTCTACCTCAGGGTGCTCCTTCTGCCCCCATGAGTCTTCTTCCCGCTGTGACTTGTTACTTTTAAGGTCAACGCATTCTTGACGTCCATGGGCAATGATGAGTCATACAAGAAGGACAAAACTGACCAGTTGTTTTGTTTGATTCTACCCATTAAAAAAGGGCCATTTAGAAGTTCTTACAGACTGTATTATTTCTCTTTTCCCATCAACCTGCCAGGATGTACCTGGGGTGAAAGCAATCATCCAGAAATAAGAAGGGGACCTTAATTTTGTCATTGCTATTAACTGATAAGACAAATGAGCACAGGTGACATCCCTGAGGGTTGGTATATCTCTCTCACCACTCCTGGAAAATCCCTTCTTTCCTCTCCATCAGACACGTCCATATGGCATGGGAAAGCTCAAGATGAGACAAAACTACTTGGGCTTGGGCAGAGTTCCCAACTGACAGCAAAACTGTGCTAAATTGCACGATTTGGGAGATGCATCTATCTGCACAGGAAGCAAACCCAGGTCACAGCAGAACTCCCTACGTGCCCATGCACCTTACAATTGTGTTGAGCACTTGATATAGCTAATACAGAGAAAATCTTTTTTTTCTTGACACTTGGCTGATCTCCCGTGGGAGTGCACATATGATAACGTAATTCCACTCTGTTCTGAGAAGAAAGAAGAAA